TAGAATTATAATCAATCTGAAAAAAATCAAGGACTTTGGGGGGAGGTCCGGACCTCCAGGACCCCCCTTGTGTGCGCCACCGAAAACAGAAGTTTTGCGATCTTCCTTTAACAACCGATTGTACGAATCCCTTTCCACGATGATCATTTCTAGATTTCTACAGAATGTCGTTCGCGCTTTATGGAAACGATTTTCTCGTTTGCGTTTTGAGATAAAGCTGGCAACTTCAGAATGATCGCCTGCGAATGTTTTCTTTTGATTAGAATGTAAAATAAATGATTTTAAAAATGGTTCCTAAAATTGATAGATGGCTCGAAGGTTACGTAATTGTGCTTTCCCGAAGAGAAATATTTATATCAACAAATTACAAAGCGGTGTAAAAATCTGTTATTGCATTTCAATAAAAAGTTGTTTTTTTTTAATTTGAAAGGAAAAAAAACAACGTCCAGTTTGAAATAAAAACGAAACTATCACCACACGCAACCTTATCCCAAGACTGCTCAAACACAGGAAACTATTAAGAATGTGAAAACTGATCATAGAAGAAAATCCACCGACTCAAAGATTCATTGCACCGAAACCAGGAATGTCTTCCGGCACTGAAATAAAAACCATTCACAAAGATTTAAAGTTAAAAAACATGTTTAAACCTAAAGTTCATCTTTTTTTAAAAAAATATTGCCAAAAGAAAAGCAAATTGTAGAAAATTATATAAAAAAGCATCCAGCTACTGAAAAATGGAAATTAATGGCAACATTTAATGAGGCATGGGTATATTTAAATGACTGTAATAAAAGATAAAATTTTCTATTGTTCAACTGACGGGAATGACCATATGAAACGGCTTCGTCAGTGCTCAGTAAAATTCCCAAAGGGATTCATGATCGCGTTGAAGGATTTTCTATTAACTGCGAATAATTAAAAATAAAAAAAAAGTCTCAAGTAAAGCCAAAATTAATTCACACACACTCTACTATCAGCAAAATATTTTAGAGCCAATTCCTGAAGAAGAAATTCTAACTTTATATGGAAAGGACATTGATAAAGTTCAGCTTTAAATGGACAAAGCCTCTAGTCACACGTATAAGTCAGCGCCGCTTAATCAACAAAGAAAGAAACAGAAATAAAGTGGATCTAATTTGATGAAATCCATTGGTGAATTCACCCCACGCTTCACCAATGGATTTTTGTGCTTTCGGTTTATTAAAACGAGCCTTAGAAAAACGGCATCCAAGAACACACTGAGCGGATTTGGGAAACCGCTTCAAGAGGATAGGAGTAAAATTTGTATGACAGTACTAAGAAAAAGTTTACTTTCATGAAAAATTCGAGCTAGAGCTATTGTCAAGAATCATGACTATTGGATAGAAGAAATTTCCCACAAAAAATACTGTATTTATTGATAAATAAAAATTAACTAACAAAATCGTTTCCATAAAGTGCGGACAGCCTTCTGTATTTCTAGAGTATCCAGAAAGATAAAACATGCCACCAAAACCTGGCTATTTTAAGGTGCATTAATAAAATTGAATTAAAACTAATTGTAGATTAAAACGATAGCTTTGTTTGGGGGATTTCTCTCATTTTCTTCAAAAACTAACGAACTTTTAGACTTCCTTGCTCATCGTACTCTACCCGAGACAGAATTTCAGCAGGTAGGAATAAAGTCACGCAGGCGCATTGCGACTCCTGGCTTAAGTGCAACAAATCATACTTCCAGTTTTACTTGTTTACGACCAGAAGATTATAGTTAGAGATTTTTTTCATACATTTCATATTTTTATCATCAATCAAAATGGGCAATTAATTTTGAACAGATAAAAAGTTATATTTTAAAAATTCGGTCCTGAAATTTTTATTACATATTTTATTTTAAATTACCGTAAAATCCGGCGTATAACGCGTACCTATACTTTCAAGCTGCATTTTTTGATTTTTAGGTATATTCGCCGTATAACGTGCATCTCTTTTTACGAAGAAACCTGAAATGTACGTGTGCAATGTTTTATGTTTTGAAGTCATTTATTCGGGATATTCTACCAAGGCCTTAGTAAAAATAGTGTACATCTAGAACTACGACCTATTTAAGTTCACAAGGAATGTCATTTCTTTTAAATAAACAGTACTTCGATATATGCAGAAGCCTAATTTTTTCAATCCTCATCTCTCATTTTTGTTTTGAGAGCTTTCAGTTTCATACTCGGCGTATAACGCGCCCCGTTAATTTCGGTCTTAATTTTTGTGTTAAAAGTGAGCGTTATAACGCTGGATTTTGCGGTATACATAAAAATATTAACAGTTCAAAATTTCTTGAATTTCATCAATGCATATAAATATTAATGATTATCACTATAAAAAAAAGTTAATAAACAAACAAATGGAGCTCACACAGTATTCTTTTGTTTTTAAAAACACAAGCGACTTCATATCATAACAGGTCATATTTCATTGGGGCAAGTTGAAAGAGAAACCCATTAGGTTAATATCACTTTAATGTTCCCAAACATTGACAAAAGATCCACAGATTATATTTTCCAAATCGTTCATTCATTTGCGACCTCGATACAGATTTGAAAAATAAATTGTTAAAATAAGTTTGATAACATTATCAGACATTTTAAGACAAAGATACACTGTATTTCAAGGCTGAGAAATGTATATTTTGAAGTATAAAGGCAAATGAGAACAATGTCAATTCATATTATAGTTACGGCGACGTGAAGATTTTGTTTATTATAGACAACTGAAAGTCATTTTGCTTCATTCAAACTAATAATTAACTTTAAAAATGAAACTTAAGTATTTTTTTAAAAAATAAAATTCAGATGAAAATATAACAGTATTTGCTTAATGAGATGAATACCTTCAAAGTTAAATACTTTTAAATTTTTCTTTTTCTCTCTAAATTCCGCGCGTGTTTTTAATCTCACTTGAAAAAAATATAATTAAAATTCAGATAAATCCATAAATAAATGAAGGGAATTTCGAACTTTTTAACTTGTTACATCGAAATGCAACATTTGAAATCATTTTAAATACTATACGGTAGTTGATTCGTGCGAAAATGATATTAATTCAAAATATATTCTTTATAATAGAGTTATTTTCTTTGTGTTCTATTTACTTTATGCCTTTTTATTGGCATACGTGCATCTAAAAAGATTTAATAAAAAAATAAGCCGAAAAGTAACGCGAATTTCTACTACGTTAATTTTTTCAATTTAAAGAGAATATGATCATTACGCTTCGTCATTTGGAGTCCTAAGCTTATAAGAAAAACTTTGGGGAAAATACAGAGATTTAACATTTTTATCAATAGTTAAAGATTACATGATTAAATTATTACTACAAACAAGCATTTTTTTAGCCATATAGAAAATTAAAAGTTATATATACTGTACGAGAATTTTTACATGTTACGTTCGTCAAATAAATTTAAAACAGCACCGATACAGCGCTATTGACCAAATTTCGCGATTTGTTTGTTTTTATTTATCGTCTGCTCATATTTGTAATTTAATATTCAATTCGTTTTGAAATATATCGTTTGCTGACTGAACTCGCGAGTGAAATAAAAGAATTATATTCTGTTTGGAAGTAATAAAGTAGACATTTAACTTTTCGTTTCTGGTACACTTTATACCAATTTCAACAGAACAATCTTTTCATATTGAATTATAATTAAAGCTGTTAAGTGACAACCACAAGAACTGAAATGGATACAGCAAAATCTACGGCATGAATTGATTCATACGCTTTACTTCCGTATACAATTTTATATTATACACAAAATCAAACATAATAAAAAGTACAATAGAATAACATACAATATTACCTAAACTAGCTATACTTATAGCATTTTAATGGTCTAATTCTTTCTGATGAAGGAGAGGGAATCATTCTTATAGCAAAAGTTAGAAAAACTCCGATTCTTGCGATATCATCAACACGCAGCTGGAATTTTTCTCAAAGAAAAATGACTATATATTATAGGATGTATAACATTCTAATTCAATTGTAACATTATAAATATGAATTCGTATTATTCTAACATATTCAGGTTTTTTACTATATATGCTGTCAACGACTTTAAAACGTGAATTCCTGATGGTGAAAAACATTTTTTCAATAGTGTTATATTCTAACATGTTAAACTTTAACAGTTGGAAATAGCAAAACGTAAGAGAATAATTTAATATTAAAATAAAATACAAGCAAAAGAGCAAAGCTCTGACCTTTTTTCCCCGATTCCTATCAACTTAAAAACCCAACTTCGCGATAAATTATAATTCGAGTATAATCTAAATTGTAACAGAGCTGACGTCTTCCATTGAATATAACGGAACACAGGACGAAACTATGAAAGCTAAATAGAGCTACAGAGTAAATAGAGTTACAGAGTAAATAGAGTTACAGAGTAAATAGAGCTAAAAGAGTACAAAGGGACTATCAGAGGCGTAAAGGAGAATATTAGCCCCCCAGAGTGCAAAGTCAGGTTTTGGGTTAAATCCGCTTTTGGCATCAATCTGGCTTTTTGGACCCCCTAGAATCCTGGGCCCTTCCCGCGATACAGGGGTGTACCTTACGCCACCAGCGATTAGAATTTCTTCTGTAAATGAGAATTTGATGAAAACCTTGGATTATTTATTCATAATTCCTCTTTATGGACAATTTTTATCATTACGATAACGTATACAGAATAAAGAAGCAACTCGGTATTACAAACAAGTAATATAAAAAAATTGAGTCAATTCCTGCTTAGGCCAACAATGAAAATTTTTATTTTAGATACTCTTTATTAAATAATTACAATTCATATAAATATGTATATATATATGACAGAATGACGAAGCAATTTTCCTTGCAATTTTCCATTTTCCTTTCTATATAGGGTGTGTGTGTTGGACTATTTTTATTTGTTACTATTTATTCATAAATTAAATTTAACTGTTCCAATAAAATAGAATAGTAAAAAGAAATTAAATTCTCAGAAATTAGATCATCCCAGGTGGGATTCAAACGCACGGCCTTTGAATTAGAAGATCAGGGAGCTATCCATTGCTCTACAGGGACACAACGAGCGATTTTCTTTTTTATATGGTGTTGGACTCCTATTTTTGTGTTTGTCATAATGATTAAATTTAATTAACTAATTAATATTTGAAAAAACTATATCAATAGTCATCCACAACAAGTTTAAAAAATGTATTTGAACATGATATATATATAGAGAGAGAGTGTGTGTGAACTAATAGAGTAGGAATTGAATGAGGAACTTACTGTTTATAACAAATTCACTTCTTTCGAATTCAAATTTTAAATTCATTTTCATGAATAATTATCTTTTTTAATCGACCTTGTTGCATGTGGTTGACGCGATAACTCATCTTTTACCAATTTGTTTGTCATTACACACAGACCGCAGAATACAACATAAAAACCAATGTATTACGCATAATGGTGATGCGTGAAATTTCTACGGTGAAGAGTAGCAAAAAAAAAAAAATTACCACCCAGACCAGAATTACCAAAAAAAAAAAAAAAAAAACCATGGTTACGTTTATTAATGCATCATGTGATTGCGACGGGGGAGCAAGAATCATGCAGTTAATTAGACGCCAGTATGCTATAAATGCATAAAGAAAATTCTGAATAAACATCTCGGGAAAGAGATTAAAATCCAATTTTTTCTTTGGAAGGATCTAGCAACGCTCAGGGTAATTGGCGTTTTCTTGTTGGTTTTTTGAATGACTTTAGTATTAAAAAAATTCGAAGGAGGAAAGGAATTTTTTTTTTTGCGATACACTTTAAAGAAATATGTTCACCCATCTAAAGATAATGATAAATAGGACATTCATATTCTAATATAAATAGGTCTTTGAAGTCATGCTCAAAACTTTTAAGTAATGTGCTCTAGCAGATTTTATTAATAATCTTATCATTCGAAAAGAATTTTACAGCATCAATGTTTGGAAGCGTGAATATACTTATATATGAATAATGTTTTACATTTTTAGAATCACTTGAAATAGAATATTTAGAAAATAAGTTATATTTTTTCCCCAAGAAATTGCATTTAATTTTTTCATTGTAATAATATTCTTAAAACAATTTTATCTGTAAATTCTGATTCAGGTCACACTAGATCTCAAAAAAATGCAAACGCTTTAGCAAAATCACGGTTCCGAACGTGAGCGGATATCTTAAAAACGAAGCACAAGTCTATGCTCGAATTATTGAGATCTAAGAATAAAAATTTGAATTTTTGGATATGTTTACAGCAATTTTCACAAAAATCGAACTGCACAATACAGATAATAAATATTTTTATTGCAAATAAAAGAATACATCCTTTTAAGGCAACTGTATCCAGAATCGCATCTTTTTGTAACATAAAATTTAAGACCATCACTAAATTCTGATTTATATTACCGCCATAAAAACAGTAATAAAACAAACTTCAAACAATCATTCGGAAGAGACAGATGAGGAGATAAAATTAATCATTTTAAAAACAAAAAAATTAAAAAATCTAACCAAAGCAATTTCCTATTAGTCTAATGTTTTGATCTTCGTCATTTTCTACCACAATAGAGATAGATTCGTGTTTGGTTTTGAATTATAAATGCATAGTTCATTATCAAAGCGATTGGTGAAAATCTATCAAGAAAGGTGTGTCTACCTTTTAATTATCAACTACTAACAGGAGCGGCATTTCCAAAGTGCGAGCAAGATTAGAAAGCAGGCTGCAATTTCGTTAAAAGGTTGGGCGTTGCTCATACAAGACTTTGATTATAGTACTATTGATGAACTTTTATGATATTGGCTTTACTTTTTTCGAAGTGATAAGTCTGTACATTTATAATTTGTCATGCTGTCAAATTATTTTCCTTCTTGTGCTCTTTAATGCCATTCGAGCGATAATAATTACGAGATTTAAAACAATGAATCTCAAATCTTTGTGAGAAGATGGAACCAGCAAGTTTGTGAATATTTTCTTCCATGACCTGACATAAGACTCTCCTTCAGGGAAAGCAAAGACTCTTCTTCAGGGAAAGTAAAGACTCTTCTTCAGGGAAAGTAAAGACTCTTCTTCAGGGAAAGTAAAGACTCTTCTTCAGGGAAAGTAAAGACTCTTCTTCAGGGAAAGTAAAGACTCTTCTTCAGGGAAAGTAAAGACTTTCTTCAGGGAAAGTAAAGACTCTTCTTCAGGGAAAGTAAAGACTCTGACATAAAGACTCTTCTTCAGGGAAAGCAAAGACTTTCTTCAGGGAAAGCAAAGACTCTTCTTCAGGGAAAGCAAAGACTCTTCTTCAGGGAAAGCAAAGACTCTCCTTCAGGGAAAGCAAAGACTCTCCTTCAGGGAAAGCAAAGACTCTCCTTCAGGGAAAGCAAAGAAGGGAAAGCAAAGACTCTCCTTCAGGGAAAGCAAAGACTCTCCTTCAGGAAAGCAAAAGACTCTCCTTCAAAGACTCTCCTTCAGGGAAAGCAAAGACTCTCCTTCAGGGAAAGCAAAGACTCTCCTTCAGGGAAAGCAAAGACTCTCCTTCAGGGAAAGCAAAAGACTCTCCTTCAGGGAAAGCAAAGAAAGACTCTCCTTCAGGGAAAGCAAAGACTCTCCTTCAGGGAAGGAGCAAAGACTCCTTCAGGGAAAGCAAAGACTCTCCTTCAGGGAAAGCAAAGACTCTCCTTCAGGGACAAAGACTCTCCTTCAGGGAAAGCAAAGACTCTCCTTCAGGGAAAGCAAAGCAGGCCTCTCCTTCAGGGAAAGCAAAGACTCTCCTTCAGGGAAAGCAAAGACTCTCCTTCAGGGGAAAGCAAAGACTCTCCTTCAGGGAAAGCAAAGACTCTCCTTCAAAAGAAAGACTCTCCTTCAGGGAAAGCAAAGACTCTCCTTCAGGGAAAGCAAAGACTCTCCTTCAGGGAAAGCAAAGACTCTCCTTCAGGGAAAGCAAAGACTCTCCTTCAGGGAAAGCAAAGACTCTCCTTCAGGGAAAGCAAAAGACTTTCCTTCAGGGAAAGAGGGATACAAACTCTCCTTCAGGAAATAACTTCCTTCAGGGAAAGCAAAGACTCTATTCAGGGAAAGCAAAAAGACTCTCCCCTTCAGGGAAAGCAAAAGACTCTCCTTCAGGGAAAGCAAAGACTCTCCTTCAGGGAAAGCAAAGACTCTCCTTCAGGAAAGCAAAGACTCTCCTTCAGGGAAAGCAAAAGACTCTCCTTCAGGGAAAGCAAAGACTCTCTTCAGGGAAAGCAAAGACTCTCCTTCAGGGAAAGCAAAGACTCTCCTTCAGGGAAAGCAAAGACTCTCCTTCAGGGAACAAAGACTCTCCTTCAGGGAGGACTCTCCTTCAGGAAAGCAAAAAGACTCTCCTTCAGGAAAGCAAAGACTCTCCTTCAGGGAAAGCAAAGACTCTCCTTCAGGGAAAGCAAAGACTCTCCTTCAGGGAAAGCAAAGACTCTCCTTCAGGGAAAGCAAAGACTCTCCTTCAGGAAAGCAAAGACTCTCCTTCAGGGAAAGCAAAGACTCTCCTTCAGGGAAAGCGTTTCTCCTTCAGGGAAAGCAAAGACTCTCCTTCAGGGAAAAGCAAAGACTCAAAAGCAAAGACTCTCCTTCAGGGAAAGCAAAGACTTCCTTCAGGGAAAGCAAAGACTCTCCTTCAGGGAAAGCAAAGACTCTCCTTCAGGGAAAGCAAAGACTCTCCTTCAGGGAAAGCAAAGACTCTCCTTCAGGGAAAGCAAAGACTCTCCTTCAGGGAAAGCAAAGACTCTCCTTCAGGGAAAGCAAAGACTAGGGAAAGCAAAGACTTCCTTCAGGGAAAGCAAAGACTCTCCTTCAGGGAAAGCAAAGACTCTCCTTCAGGGAAAGCAAAGACTCTCCCTTCAGGGAAAGCAAAGACTCTCCTTCAGGGAAAGCAAAGACTCTCCTTCAGGGGAAGCAAAGACTCTCCTTCAGGGAAAGCAAAGACTCTCCTTCAGGGAAAGCAAAGACTCTCCTTCAGGAAAGCAAAGACTCTTCTTCAGGGAAAGCAAAGACTTTCTTCAGGGAAAGCAAAGACTCTTCTTCAGGGAAAGCAAAGACTCTTCTTCAGGGAAAGCAAAGACTTTCTTCAGGGAAAGCAAAGACTCTTCTTCAGGGAAAGCAAAGACTCTTCTTCAGGGAAAGCAAAGACTCTTCTTCAGGGAAAGCAAAGACTCTTCTTCAGGGAAAGCAAAGACTCTTCTTCCAAAGACTCTTCTTCAGGGAAAGCAAAGACTTCTTCAGGGAAAGCAAAGACTCTTCTTCAGGGAAAGCAAAGACTCTTCTTCAGGGAAAGCAAAGATCTTCTTCAGGGAAAGCAAAGACTCTTTGAGCCTACGTGGACGACGGTCATCACATGTAGCTAGCTGACAAATCGTCCGAAATCCAAGGTTTTTGGAGAATACAAACGGAAATAACATTTTACCGTTGTAATTATTCGTATTTTGATCTTATTAAGGCTGAATCGGGAACGGCCGAGGTCTTGGGCCTCGGCTCAGTTGGCCCATGCCTTAAAACGCCCCTTCCGTTTCCCCCCTTCCCCCCTCTTTGCCAACTATTCCATGAAATTGTACTGCTATATATTTTTAAATTATTGACATCGAAGTGTTTGTATTAAGCATTTGTTTGTATTCAAAAACATTCTTATAGCCCTCGCTCCTTGATTTAAAAATAATAAGATTTTAATTTCTAAAACGGAAGTATATTTACCTTTGAATCCCCGTAACTCCCTTTTTGGAGTCTATTTATGTAAAACCCGTTCTTAGAGGATTTCTACTCAACAAAAAAAAAACTCTTGCCTGACAAATTTCAAGAATGTATGAATAATAGTTCAGGAAATCTCGCGAGTTGTTTTCTCCTATATACGGATATAGATAGCAGGTAAGCAATTGAAGATAAAATTTTAAATTGTCTAATATCCTTCATCATGCTATAATATGATTATTTTATAAGCCCAGGTTAATATTTACTAACCAATTTGAAAACAAAATAAACTAAAAACAAATTAAACTGCTAAATGTCGATAAATGACAGAAAAGTATTTTAAAATGATCTGAAACACTGTATAAATCTCAGTTATATATTACATAGTATAAAATTAATTTCTCCTTTTTTCATAACTAAAATAAAGCACTAAAACAAAGGTTTTTGAATACATTAAATAGACAGAAAGGGAACCGAGAGAGAATCACATCTGACTTATATTCAAAAATACAACATACTTCAAAAAGATAATCCCAGGACGTATATATATCAAAAGTGCAGCTGAGTTCTAACTGGCATTCTATAAGCCCACAGTATATCTAATGCTAGCATGTGTTGGATACAGTATGTAGCACTTTTATAATTAGCTAATAATTTACTTACACAACCAAAACATATTCCTAAAAGTTTAGTTTTTAAAAAGGACACAGAAATGAATTATTTTAATCTTCATTCAATGATAAAGATTTTTATGAATACAACGTATCCATAAAAAATAATGTGAAATCCCTGCTTTAATGATAAGGAGAAGAAATTTAAAAAGAAATAAGCACTCGACAAAAACATTTAATTAAAATCTCAATAAAGTTCATCTGATACTATATAATAAAAATAAACATTTAAAAAGTACTAAATAAAAATTAGTTTCAAGAAAAAGAAATAAAGCATTAATTAATAGAATTTTGTCATTCTTGTTCATTAACGATTTTTTTTAACACTGGATCATTTTATAATATAATAAGTTCATTATAAATAGTTCCAAGTACTGATTTGAAATGGATCCCTTGGAAGTAACTCAGAGAAATATGTAAATATAAATTGCCAAGTTCACTGGCCTTATTTTTCGTACGCCTGAACTCCTTAAAGCGCTCTACAACAACAAACACAATCAAGTTCTTCAACACTTTTGACGACGACTCCGCAGCCGCAGAGAAATAAACATTTTGAGACGAATCCTGGATTCGCGTCAGAGCTTCCACCTGCTCTAATTCATCATGGGACCGTGATAAGAACATGAAATATGGAATGGAGGGGAGAAAAAAGACATCAAGTCCTCTACACATTAATTCGTCACCCTGTCCTTCCCCCGAAAATCTACATCAACATGTCGTTCCGTAACCCGAATCGGGAAGCAACTGGTACAGAAGCTTCCATTCATTCAAAGACATTCTTTTTTTTATTTTGTTGTCCTTTTCTGGTAAGTGGTTGCCTGTGTTCTGTGATAGTCTGTAGCACCGAAAGGGTTGAAGGAAATGGCATTGGATAACCACAAGAAAAATGGCAAGGTTTCGAATTTAATTCTGGACAGTCGCCCATTTTTATGGTGGATAAGGTTCTGTACTTTTTTGTTTTTGTTTTTTTTTTTTAAAAATGATTGGGTGCAGTCCTCAATGATGTCTCCATATCAATCCGGTTGCCACCAAGAGTTTCGAAAATAAGCCAATTAGCGTGAGCAGAGCAATCTAAATGGCTCAATTCTCCTCATCAATTATAATCTATCCATCGAGATGATAAAGGAAAGTGAACTATATTTTTAGAATGCTCGGTGTGCATTTCAACAACAAAAACGGTATCTAAACAAAAATAAATTATTCTTAATTACATATCATTCCATTGAAAAACGAATAAACCAAGATGGCCTTGGTGTACTTTTCTGTCAAAGGATCTCATTCTCATCCGGGTATCTAAAATTTAATGAAGGGGTAACTGTTTACTATTTTCTTATCAATACTACCGTCATTGAAATATTTGACGCAAGAAAGGAATCAATGCATAATAAATTTAAAAGGAAAAAAATTTAAGAATTTTTGAATACGCTTGTTTGAGATTTTTAAAGTAATATATTTTTTAGCTAAGGTCAACGTTTCGAAAGATTGGATTCGCTTTACAGCAGAAAGGATATTGGCGACGGGCATCGCTATTTTTTATCATATTTTCTTAAATAATTGATATTTTGGGGAAATAAATACATAATATTTAAGGTACCCGACACTACGTTTGAAGTCATTTTTTAAAGTTATCAATAAATAAAACCCTAACATTTTTACAATTGCAGATTCTCTTACATTAACAATAATAAAAAACCCAATTCGAAATAATGTATACCAACATAAATAACTTTTTTGAAAAAAAATTAATGAAATTTTTATTAATTATTGGATTATTTTTAAATACTCTATTTGAAATCTAAATTTTTCAAAAGAAATTGCTTCAAATAATTTGATATATTTCTAATAAATAGATTTAAAACTATAAATTATCATTAAATTAAAAGTTACAGCTAATGGAAGCAACTAGGATTTTTCGACATTTTTTAAATATTTTTACATGGAAATATATCAACAACTTAAATAAAAAATATTCTCTCTCAGCTTCACAGTTTTCTAAATTTTTTAATCAGATAACATCACTATAAAATTATGCATGAAATTTTCTGCAAGTATCTCTAATAATGCTTGAGGCATACGAGACATTAACTTTACAAAATTAGTTTCGAGAAAAACTCGTTTTAACTTCCAGAAAAGTATTTTGGTAAATATAGTAGCATTTTAAACTCTTGGTAACTGTTTTTCTAATTCTCATACAATCTAATCAAAGATAAATTTTAAGAAGCTAATTATTTCTACCTTAAAAAATTACAATAAAAAATGTGATTTTAGACCAAAAAGAGACATTTTCAATAAAAAAAAAAATCACGTATTTCACCTTTAAAACTAAAAATACACTGATAAACAAAAGTGAGCTTAATGACCACGACAAGATATTTGAAAAAAATTGAACATTGCCATCATCCGAGAATTTTGAAAAAAGACAGAATGTCACTTGTTGCAATTTACGAGATAGGGACACTAAAATTTTAAATTATAAGGGATTTAGATTGAAAACAATATTAATGAATGGATTGGATACGATTGAATGTTTTTTAATCTTGCAAGAAGTCATGAATGAGCAAACTGGAAAATATATTGTACAAAGATTTCAATTCGAAAAAGAAAGTAATTCAAAACAATTAAGTATAATTAAATTTTCTCCATTTCCTTAATATTTTAACCAAGGCTATTTATGACTTTAATCTCGCATTGCATTTTTATATTTTTAGTTTTAGGTTATAACTTGACAATCTTCCATCATCAAAACAGTCTCAATGTCCTTAATATTTAGGATTTCTCTCTGTATGAAAACAAATGCCCCGAAACTTCCGAAATAATTAAATAATCATAAAAATTGAAACATGTTCAGGATTAAATGTAAATAATAAATATAAGGTCAATGACACATTTTATTGTATTTTCTTTTTTTTTTTTTTGTACAGTAACTCCAGGATTCCTATTCCCCAAATAAAAAAATAAATAAAAGGCGAAATATAGATTGCCGTTCCAGTAATAATTTTTTTTAAATGCCCGATTTCTATGGTTGAATTGTTTGATTCCAGATGGGTCTACAAATACATCAGGTGTCGTACATGCACGGTTTCAATAAAATATCTTCTGTAAGTGAATGTAACATAATTTTTTTATATATATTTTTTCAATTCCTACTATTAGAGAGAGAGTTCACTATCCCTCTCTATATAATTATATAAAAATCTATTTGTATATTATACATATGTATATATTACATTATACATATATATCTTGTTCAAATTTTCAACCGTCAATAAAGTACTTTCTATTCATCCATTCAAGTGCAAATACATTTTTTTAAACTTGTTGCGGATAGCACTTGCCGTTAATACAGTTTTTTTTCAAATATTAATTCATTAAAATAAAAAATGAATAAATAGTAACAAACAAAAGTAATAGTCCTACAGCATATATAGAAAGAAAACTCGCTTGTTATGCCCCTGTAGCACAAAGGATAGTATACGTTGAACTTCTAATCCAAAGGTCGTGGGTTCCAATCCCACCTGGGATGGCCTAATTTTCTGAGAATGGGATTTCTTTTTTACTATACTATTTTATTCGAATAGTTAAATTTAACGAATGAATACTAACAAACAAAAAATAGTCCAACCCTAAATATAGAAAAGAAAATGGAAAATTACAAGGAAAATTGCTTTCTATTTTGCCACTTAATATTGCGATTCGGTCATACGTAAAGGGTGTTTTTTTTAGAGGTATAGAACTTTAAATTGCAATAAAACAACGATGTATTATTCGATTGACATGAATTTTTTATTCGAAAGATAATCTTGTGGCATTACATTTTAAATAGGATTTCTGGCATAGGACTGCCACGGCTGGCTCGGATGTAGTTCAATCTGGACGTCCAATTTTCGATGACTTTTTCCAACATTTGTGGCCGTATATCGGCAATAACACGGCAAATGTTGTCTTCCAAATGGTCAAGCGTTTGTGGCTTATCCGCATAGACCAATGACTTTACATAGCCCCACAAAAATAGTCTAGAGGTGTTAAATCACAAGATCTTGGAGGCCAATTCACAGGTCCAAAACGTGAAATTAGGCGGTCACCCAACGTGTCTTTCAATAAATCGATTGTGGCACGAGCTGTGTGACATGTTGCGCCGTCTTGTTGGAACCACAGCTCCTGGACATAATGATTGTTCAATTCAGGAATGAAAAAGTTAGTAATCATGGCTCTATACCGATCACCATTGACTGTAACGTTGTGGCCTTCATCGTTTTTGAAGAAGGATTCCACCAGCCCATAAAGCGCACCAAACAGTCAGTTTTTCTGGATGTAACGGTGTTTCGACATACACTTGTGGATTAGCTTCACTCCAAATGCGGCAGTTTTGTTTGTTGACGTAGCCTTTCAACCAGAAGTGCGCTTCATCGCTAAACAAAATTCGCGTATGAAAATTCCGCACAGAACCATTATTTTCGAAATAAAATTGCACAATTTGAAAGCGTTGTTCAGGCGTGAGTCTATTCATGATGAATTGCCAAACCAAACTGAGAATAAATCACTTGACAGCTGTTAAATCGGTCGCCATCTTGGTAAGTAATGCCAACTTAAACTTCTATACCTGGAAAAAAAACACTCTTTATATTCATATTTACATTAGTTGTAACTATTTAATAAGTAACCAAAAGAAAATCTTTCTTTGTTTACTTACGTAGGATTTGACTTAAAATTTTTCTTTATATGTTACTGGTCACACTGTAGTAAGTATAAACACTTTCTTCTATACTCTAGCAAAAACTTTTGAAGATAATATATTGTTAGTGAAATTTCCTTGGGATGCACAGGTTTTTTTAAACCTAAAAATGAGGAATGTGTACACCTCCGCATCGCGGGGGGACCAGGATTCTGGGGGGGCCTAAAGCCTGATGTTATGGTTTTTCAATCGTTTTTAAAATTCGGTTTGGAGCCCAACATCTGATTTTGCAGGAGGTCCCTAATATTCTTCGTTACGCTCCACTGGAAATGTCACAAATACCAGCTATCATCGAAAGTACCGTAATATCCGGCGTATATAACGCACACCTATACTTTTAAGCTTTTTTTAATTTTTAGGTATATTCGCCGTATAACGTATCCCCTTTTCTTATGAGAAATTTGAAATTTATGTATGTAATGCTCTTATGTTTCGAAGTCTTCCATTCGAGGTCTTATTCCAGGAATTTTGAAAAAATAGCTTTTCTCTAGAACTGTCACTCTTTAACTTCTTAAGGCATGTCATTTCTTTCAGTTAAACAGTATATAGATATCTATACGTCTAATTATTTTTATACTCATCTCTTTTTTTCATTTTTAAGACCATCATTTTTATACCCGGCGTATAACGCGCACCCGTAAATTTCGATCTTATTTTTTTGCGTTAAAAGTGCGTGTGCGTTATACGCCAGATTTAACGGTAAATTAATGTAAAAATAATTTGTGTGTTAATGAAGAATAATACTAAAACTTCTCAAAATCTTCCAATCTTTAAAATCAAAAGAGTTTTAAACGTCATTGTTAAAGGGAAACAACTTCTCAGAAAAATTTGATCTTGCCCGCAAATTTAAGTTTAAATCTATGAAAAATCGTTTTGTTCAAGAAGATATTTCAAAAAAAAATTTTTACTTTCCTTTTAACTTGTAATTTTATACGTGATCTCGAACATTCAAAATCTCTAGGAATCGATATAAACTAGTATGACACACATAAAAAGATTGCAAAGATTTTCATTTAAATTAAGAGGCTCGACAACAAATTGATGTTTACAATAAAAGCAACAGTCGAAAGACAATATTTTAATTCAAATGTACAAAAAATTATAACTTGTTCTGATGATCACGTAATGTGCAACGATAAATCATCTTCGAACTTTATCAAATTGCACGTTTAACAAAAGTTGTCAACAGACCGCATGAACTCGCAGAATGTCGCATTTATAAAACAAAATTATACTCCTTAATCTTCAAATACACAACATTCTATTCCAAACGATCTTCTAAAAAAGGATGCATTTCAGTTACGTTTTAGAATCATCGGTCATCAATAAAAAGATCTAACGAAAAACATTCCGTCGCATACAGGAAAAACACCAATTTTACAAAAGAGATAGTCATTGCTTCAAAATGGCGAATAGCGATTGAATATTACATATATCAAGATTCCCTCCAGAAGTATGACATTTTGATTCTACGTTATCCCGACTCAGAATAAGTAATCACAGTGGAAAACTTTATGAAGCGTGTCGAATAGGAAGGTGTGACCAGATACTGTCGTCTCAAACTCCATTTTGTTGTCATCTTGCTTCAAATTCTTTATCAAGCGGATAAAAGCAGGGAATAATAGGGAGAAGTGACCCAATGACAGATTTATGGAAGGTGCACGCAGCCTTCTTTCTTTTCTTTTAAAAAAAAAGAAGCAACGAAAATTGAACCAAGAACACAGTAATCGATTTTTGGATTTCTCAATGGACAAGAGTTTTTGCTGTATTGATGGTCACATACAAATAGAAAAGAAAATGAAATGAATAGATTTATATTATGCTATTGTAAAGGAAAATTCTTAGGAAAAGATAAATTTAATGGAATATTTAATGCCAGGCATTTCCTTTTTTATCTATGAAAAGAAATGCAGAACAGTGAAAAATTTTTGTATTCTAAATATGTTTTTGGTTGGGGAGTCATAAATCAACCAGGGGCGTCTTACAGCATGGCCCTAGGGCGCAATCCTCAATGGGGGGGCTCATCTCGTTCTCGACTCAGCCTTAATATGATCATCATGATTCGAACAATTTCAACGGTCAAATGTTTTTTTCCCGGTTGTATTCTCCGAGAAATTGGGAATTTCGGTCGGTATGTCAACTGGATACATGTGAAGACCGTCGTCCTTGTATAGGCCAACCACCATACACCATCATTATTCCTTCAGTCAAAAGGTGGCAGTCGGTCGAGCTAGTTTGTGCGATTGTAAGTCATGTACATTTATATATTTCGGGTTATTGCTTGTACGAGTATTTAACAACATATTCTATGTACTGTAGGATTTAAGGTTCCTATGTGGGGTCCACATTTGCATAGAAGGCCAGGGCAGGTGTGCAGCTATCACCGTATCAGCCCAATGAATGATACGGGGCCCCCCAACTACATGGCCTCCAACATGAGTACGCAAAAATCGTAAGATATTAAGAGGCCCCAAACAAGAGCCCTCGAGGAATTTTTGATACAGGACCGACCCTCTTAAAACTAGCTACACTATTGGCCCAGGGTCTACTTTTGCGTAAGGGCCCTGGGCCTCAAAAAATCTTAAGACGTCCCTGAAATTAAATATTCAGAAATGTTTATTTTAAGATTTCCTTAAAAGTCAAACATTTCAAAAGCAAATTTATAACAACCATTTTTTTTTTTAGTAAAACTGGTTACAAAAACTTGTTTTTTTTTAAAAAATTCATTTCATAATAGTAATGCATTCTAACAAAGCTTTTCGATTAGTGGAAGGTACCCTTTACATTTGATATGTAGTATATTTTTAAAGGGTTTTAAAGCATACTTCAAGACTGGAAAGTTACAAATTTTTAAATTTTTCATTGTACTATCGAAATAATTGATGCAACTATGAACAATGGCGTAGCCCCCAACCCCTGCATCGCGGGGGGCAGGGTTTTAGGGGACCCAAAATCTGACTTTGCGGCGGGGGGGGGTAAATGTTCTCATTTACGCCACTGATTATAAAGCACCTACCTACATTTATTAAATATATTCAGTTTCACAGAATTTTTACTCTTAAAAAACATGTTTCTGCTGTCTTTGATATCGTATGTTACGATGCTAGATAGCAGGTGCTTATTGACGTCACATTTAAAGCAACATATAAGCTATTTGGCGACGGATCTCGTAATTCTGAACCAAAATCAAAGCTACGAGGGCGACGTCTGAGCCAGCATACCACGCCAACTTAAAAGCCTTGAGCCACTCGAGGTCCAATGGCAATCGACCTCGAATTTTAAATCACAATCTGGTGACGAAGATGACACGTAAGTTGAAAGCCTTCTCTCTAAACTCCCACATCATGCCAACTTTGAATATCAACAAATCTAACTTGCATCAGCTCCTCTACACGCCTGACTTTTAGTGGTATCAGGATTCGAATCAATGACTCGACAACGCCGTCCCCGAGTTTGTGATCATGACCACTAGGCTACCGTGTGGTTACATTTCACTGCTAGCAATACCAAGCAAATCAAATATTTGCAAATAGATACAAAAAAATTCTCAACTTTCGTGTACTTCACATCCATCAAAAACTGAACTATTAAAATAACTTATATTTTCAATTTTTTAATTTCTTAAAAATTTCTAAAATAAAATTAATTAATTAATCAATAATGTATTCCAACGTTCCCAATCATTCCTAACTTTCAACAAGATTTTCCAATATCTCGTAGGTAGAAATCATCCGTTTTCGACTTAGAAAAATTTATCCAACCAAGGTCTTAATGGGGTAAGTTCATATGAC